TTGGCACAATGACAAATGTAAAGTTTTCTTTTCTATAATGAGAATTAACAAAAAGAGTCGCTCAGCTAATCTCTTAAACGAAAAATAGTCAGTGAACGTATAGTATAATATATATATATATATATATATATATATATATATGTGTGTGTGTGTGTGTGTGTGTGTGTGTGTGTGTGTGTGTGTGTGTTTGTGTGTTTGTGTGTGTGTAACTAATGTATAAATTATAAATTTGACTGAAAAAAGATAAAGAATAAATATTGGCAGCTATTTGTGTAAAAATCCCTTTATATATACTATATAAGTACTTGTATAATTTGCGGATTTTGTTAAGTAAGGAAAACAAAAATTAAAAGTAAACATTTTTCATAGTATAATTTATGCGTTCATCATAATAAAGCATAATTAGCTTAAAAAAATCGTGGCTTTAGAACTTTATTTAAAAAGACAATGGTTCTAATAGGGATGCATTTGTTTATATATTGCAACAAAGTTTGAGTTGGTTGCTTGATTGAGTGATGTCCCACGTGGGAGACGTAAGATCACTTCCCCTTACCAGTAGCCTCTTAATGGAAAGCTAGTCGCACCGGACTTGCCTAATGCGATTTATATATCCTATATGGTTGGCGAACTATTGCATAATGAGCAGGTTATCAAGTGCGCATCTGAAAAGTAGATGTTGAGGGTTTCCTGTGAATTGTAAAAAAAAAAACCAAAAGGTGTCAGTTAGTTACTACTGTAACAGCTTAAAGGCCAAGTCCCCTATTCCTAAATGCTTATTCCAACTTTTGTATTATTCTCGTGTAGGGTTTCTTCATAATGAAGAATTTGTTTTTTTTCCAAAATATTTTTCAATTTTAATCTCTGAAAGTCGTATAAGATTTTTTCATGATCCTGTATTCTGCTCGTTAATAATGTCAGAAGAAAGAAGATTATAAAACATTTAATGATTTTTTGTGGATCAATAATCTAAAAAGCATTATAGTTTTCTTCATGCTTGAAAAAATATGCCGCATAGCAACTCCACTCATATAAGAATAAGTTAGTGTTATTCCATTATGTTAATGATTTAATGTAATACTATTATCAATAAATTATAGTAAAATGAAAGTTACTCATGNATGCGTGCATTGTCAAAGGGAAAAACAACAACTACAAGTATCCACAGTATACGGAATAGGAGGGCAATAACATATTAAAAATACCTTTTCATCTTGTAGAACCAATTCAATCGAGAATATAGAGCCAGGATTAAAACGATCCGGTTTTTCCCACATACGGATAACCCGAACTTTCAACTTCCATTGCATCTTTGAAATGGTTATATCGTTGATGAAATCAAACTTAGCGGCCATCTTTTGACTAATCCGTAGATTATGTTGAAATCTTCGTAGAAAATCTACACCATAGAATTCAAGCAGGTGTAGGTAAGGAAGAAATAAAAATTTTGCGGTTTGAGGAGCAGTTGGTAGGAAGTAGACTACATCGTGGGTTAGACAGTTGCAGAGACAATTTAGGGTTAATTGAAGATCAAATTTGTTAACCTATTTTTGTGGAGTAAAACGTTTTCCCACACGTTCAATTAATTTCATTTGTTAATAATTAAAAAAAGGCAGAATGGCCTAAATGGCACCTGTACTTCACCCACTTTGTCATGCCGGTCCCCAAACTTACATATTTGCCAATTAAACACTTATACTCATTCAAAACATGAATAATAAACGCTTATCCAAGGAGGCTGCCAGTGCGTGTTTGACAATCGCCTACACGTAGGACGCCACGTCAATAAAATATATCCACGTAGGCTCCAAGTCACATCTGATGGCCAAATAGGATAAAAAATTATTTACCCCCCAAACCCACATTTTCCCTCATTTTACAATTACCCCACTAAATTAGGGCTTAGATAGTATCGAAACAGTGAGTCGCTCCTCTCTTCTCCGTCGTTCTTGCCGGGATTTTCATCTGTACAGTTGTTATCAAAGTTTGTGGGGTAAGTTTCTTCATTTATTCTTCATATTTTGTCTTTATTGTTCTTCATTTCCTTCTATTTATGGGGATTTTGCTCTGTTTAGGGTTTTTTAGGGGGAGGTTGGGTTAGGTCGTAATTGCTGTTTAATATCCCTTAATATATAGGGCTTTTGTTGTGTTTTGCTACATGTTAGAGTGANGCTGTTGAGGGTTTCCTGTGAATTAGTAAAAAAAAAACCAAAAGGTGTCAGTTAGTTACTACTGTAACAGCTTAAAGGCCAAGTCCCTATTCCTAAATGCTTATTCCAACTTTTGTATTATTCTCGTGTAGGTTTCTTCATAATGAAGTAATTTATTTTTTTACCAAAATATTTATCAATTTTAATCTCTGAAAGTCGTATAAGATTTTTTCATGATCCTGTATGCTGCTCGTTAATAATGTCAAAAGAAAGAAGATTACAAAACATTTAATGATTTTTTGTGGATCAATAATCTAAAAAGCATTATAGTTTTCTTCATGCTTGAAAAAATATGCCGCATAGCAACTCCACTCATATAAGAATAAGTTAGTGTTATTCCATTATGTTAATGATTTAATGTAATACTATTATCAATAAATTATAGTAAAATGAAAGTTACTCATGTAAAGAAATAACAAACTTTGCTTAATTAAAAAAATTATAAATAGTTGTACAGACGGGTCTCCCACTCAGCTTCAAATATAAAAACATAAACGCAAAAAGGTTTACTTGGCCAAACCTCTTGATAAATTTCAGTTAAAATACTACCTAAAGGTTGTCCAATTGAATCTATTAATATTGCTAATGCATGCCAATCTGATAGTTTCATCTGATCAATAGCATCAAATAGCGCATCTCTACTAACATGATAATTAGCAATGTCTTCATTTAGCGAAGCCCTAAGCTCTCTAAATTTCTTTTCTCTTTCCCTTCGTGCTGCCCTTCGATCCCTTAACTTATTTTGTATCGCAATTGGGACATTCCTGATGACTTCAGTCTTTGAGTCAGAATGATTAAAGGAATAACGGCTGCGACTGCGTACCCTTATACGTTGTCCCCTTCTTTGAATTTGAGAACTCGCATTTAGAGTAATTCGAACGTGTCCTTTTTTATCCATATCTGAAATATGACCAATGAAACAATAAGTAATGCTACAACATGTCAATGTTATAACATACGACATGCAAATTATTTGAACATATTGATGGATTTAAACAATATTTTGCAAAGACATTAAAAGGTGAATGAAGGACAAACATCAGTATTGGATATAAAGCTTCATTGTTGAGCATTAATAGTTAAAAAACTTAAACAAAAGGTTGCTGAAGCTATTTCGAATATTACAGGACATCAGAACACACTGTGAAACAAATTGAGCAATTCTGAAAATTAAAGGCAAAATAGGAACTTCATAAGTTTTGGCAAATCAAGACATGTAACCACTCTGTTCAAAAGAGAAACGACTGTATTGTAAATAAAAGTTCAGTTGTTAATTCTGATTAATTACCTAAGAAGTATATTATAAGTTAGTATATTAATTACAATATAAGTATTTAGGTACGGAGCGTAATGTAAGTTAGTATATTAATAAGTTGACAACACGAATCTACTTGTACATACTAAATTACAATAGATGACATAAAATTTAGTAAATGTATGTCCATCATAATATCCTAAATTGCAAGTAAAAAAAGTTATGAAATCCAAAAAATAGTAATTTCATTAAATGACATAAGTTATTAGTTAAGTAAAAACTTATGAAAGTGGACGGTGAACATTGATAGAGCTTTTGAGCCATCCAAAATCGATGATAATTAATAAGAATAACGTTTGTTAATTACACAAAAAGAAAAACAGAGATAAAAGAAGATGAAGTAGGAAATATGGATCATTTGTAAGCAGTGAACAAAAAGACCATCTGTAAGGAACAATTATGTAAATAGCAATTATGGAAAAAGTGATATAAATAGTTGTACAGACAGGTCTCCCACTCAGCTTCAAATAAAAAAACATAAACGCAAAAAGGTTTACTTGGCCAAACCTCTTGATAAATTTCAGTTAAAATACTACCTAAAGGTTGTCCAATTGAATCTATTAATATTGCTAATGCATGCCAATCTGATAGTTTCATCTGATCAATAGCATCAAATAACGCATCTCTAGTAACATGATAATTAGCAATGTCTTCATTTAGCGAAGCCCTAAGCTCTTTAAATTTCTTTTCTCTTTCCCTTCGTGCTGCCCTTCGATCCCTTAACTTATTTTGTATTGCAATTGGGACATTCCTGATGACTTCAGTGTTTGAGTCAGAATGATTAAAGGAATAATGGCTGCGACTGCGTACCCTTATACGTTGTCCCCTTCTTTGAATTTGAGAACTCGCATTTAGAGTAATTCGAACGTGTCCTTTTTTAGCCATATCTGAAATATGACCAATGAAACAATAAGTAATGCTACAACATGTCAATGTTATAACATACGACATGCAAATTATTTGAACATATTGATGGATTTAAACAATATTTTGCAAAGACATTAAAAGGTGAATGAAGGACAAACATCAGTATTGGATATAAAGCTTCATTGTTTGAGCATTAATAGTTAAAAAACTTAAACAAAAGGTTGCTGAAGCTATTTCGAATATTACAGGACATCAGAACACATTGTGAAACAAATTGAGCAATTCTGAAAATTAAAGGCAAAATAGGAACTTGATAAGTTTTGGCAAATCAAAACATGTAACCACTCTGTTCAAAAGAGAAACGACTGTATTGTAAATAAAAGTTCAGTTGTTAATTCTGATTAATTACCTAAGAAGTATATTATAAGTTAGTATATTAATTACAATATAAGTATTTAGGTACGGAGTGTAATGTAAGTTAGTATATTAATAAGTTGACAACACGAATCTACTTGTACATACTAAATTACAAAACAGTAAAAGCAGTTAAAAAGACATACTTTACTACCACAAAAAATGTTGAAATGGTTGAAAGATGTCGTCCATAGGTCAAAAATTTGCAAACTAACTAAAACAGAAAAGTTAAACAGCATAAACGTGCCATCCTGATTAAAATACATTGTTCATAACTAATACAACTACTAATAAGACTAATCAGACAGTTGTCGCTTTCTCCAAGGGTTACATTTGTAAACACCTTATGTTGTTTTCTTCTTCTTAAATGGTCTTTTGATTTTATTTTCTGACAGCTGTGTATTCGGACCTTCTTCAACCACTGTCGCGACATTAGTTAAACTTATCTTGGCAGGTGTATTTGCAATATCGATTAACTCATTCTCTTCAGTAGAATCCTGCATATATAAAATACAAAAATATGTGAAAATAAGTAGTGAAATTATAATTTCTATAGCTTTATTAATATATACCTTGAAAATTATTATTTAGATTAGTCAATAATGTAAACAAATATTAATCATGAGTTTCCAACTTGCTATAAAATAGAAAAAGTTAACTTTCACAAGTATTAAACTTATTAAAAAATGTCCAGATGTCTAAATTTACTTGGAAACATATCATTATAGATATATAAGAATGTGTCATACTAAAGGAACAATTAAAAGTGATCGATGTATTTACCTCGCGTTCCTTCTCTGCATCAAAGATTTGATTATTATTGAAGTCAGGTTCCTATCACAAGACAATAAATAAATGAGTTTAAAAAAAACATTCAATTTATGCAATATATAGGAAATATGCATATTAAATATGTTATGACGTTTGTGAGTAAAGATGACATACAGTTAAGTCATTTGAAGGTGTATCAGGCATATATTTCTTTATCAATTGCTCCTCATCAGTAAGCTTAACAACACTATAAACTTCCTTTTGCAGTTGAATGTTCTCGCTCTTGACAATAACCTTAAACATGAGTTTTCTTTAGAGAACATTGTTAAGCTCTACTGGATACGGAAACGTATCAACACCTCCAGTATTCTACATTGAAACTTTGCGTTATAATTTATATAAAAAGAAATATGAATATAATTAGTTTATATACCTCAAGAAATCCTTCCTTCAATTCTTTTGCCGATTTGCCTATGAGAAACATGGCTTCGCGGTCCCAAAGCAATAGGGAAATAGATCCTGTACTATCCATTACCCTAACCTGAAGCTTGTACCTAATTGCACAGCAAACATTTAAGATATAAATGTACATTTTTTATGAATTAAGCAAATAGAGTTGTTGCTTTTACCTAATAAGTGTTGAGTAATCTTCATTTTTACATTTGGGGTTTGGGCATTGAAAAATGTTTCCTACTTTATCCACCTTCTTTTGACACTTCTTGCAGCTGACATACGACCATCCTTTTTCAAGTTCTAAATTTTCTATACTTGCAACAATCCAACAGGGACCTTCCTGTTTAATAAAACGATTAAACTTTACGCTGTGACGTATACAGAGAGGGTATATGTGCAACTAAAAACTAAGAATAAGTAATTTGCATCTTTATATTACAAAAATTAAAAATTTCAACCAATATGTCATATGAGAGATGAAGATATAAAGTAGGACATCCATAAATTAGCATGGACAAAATGCTTAAGAAAATTGGAATATATTGTGTATAAAACGGGACTGGAAGATTTGATAAAATGTGGAGCAGGGGCAGACCAACATATATTATATGTTTGTGTTTCCATCTAGTAATGATCATATATTCATAATAAGAACAAAACAATTGCCCAAAATATGGTGTTCTAAAAATTCAAAGAAATAAGATAAAAAGAGTTAACTCACTTGCATGGACTCCACTAATTGGGCAATTGTTTTAACTTCAGCAATGCCCTTGTCTAACTCATCCGAAACGGAGTAACTTTGTTGAGAGATGGTTGGAGTCAGCCTTTCAGAGCAAGTATCCCAAACAGCATTTAATCTATATTTATAAATAAGGATTACAGTTAGAACTATACGTGAAAAGATAGATATGAGGGTAGATACATGATTAAATATATGTAACCGTGATTTAAACTCTTCCGATTGAGGAAATGTAGGATTAATCCACAACTTTGATGTATTCCAAGTGTTGCGCACAGAATATGAATCTGTAAAAAATAATTATTAGTAATCTGTAATGAATAAGTTAGACAAAGTAATGTCAAATTTAATAGTTACATGTTACCTTGAAATTTATGGGCTTTTATGAGCTGCATAATAACAATAATACGCTGGTTGTTAGAACTTAAAAGGTGAGGTATAACTTGATCAACAAATTCGCCCCAGAATGTAGCAGATAACTTGTTCCTCCTGTCCAATAGAAATAGTGTATAATGCTTAGTATATCTATTTATCAAATCTATGATTAATCAATAGTTGTGTGTTTATTCTTACTCATCATCTTCTAGTTTGATATCCATATACTTCCTACTAATTTCACCTTGTTTTTGCGTTTGTACCTCACTAAAATTGACAATTTCTCCGATAACATCTAAAGAAAAAAAAATGATGTTAAAATAAGTAGCATCAATCTATAAAAAAAAATATATGTAAAAATAAATTAAAGTAAACATAAATATTACCAAATAATTCATTCTCGTTGACATCAACTTTATCTATCAATTGATGATCGGAGATCAAAGATATTCATTGGAAATAGTGAATCAATGGTTTCAGCCACTGTTGTCCGTTGAGTAAACGTCAGCATCAATGTATGTTTTGTGGTGTTGAACCTCTCCTTGTTTTGGCAAACGATAAAGTTTGCCATAACATATAATCCATGCTCATTAATTTTTCTGTTGAAAATATGCAAAACAGACTTGCCAATAGAAGCATGTATACGATCGCCCTACAAAGAAATTACAATAAATAAATATATTACAAATTATTATAGTAATAGTATTTATATTAACTATACTTTTAAACAGTACAGTTAAACAAAATAATTTGTTACAGTAATAAAGGAAAAAATGCAGATTTGGCATTCATGCAAATTTACTAAAACAGAAATTCCATTCTAGTAAAACAGAATTTTGAAATACAAATCCTTGTAAATCTGGCAGAGCATTGCCAGTAAACCTGTTTACTGGCAGAGCATTGCCAGTAAACCTGTTTTACAGTTGCAACTAAACCAAATATTCATATAACAATGTGGAAGAGCAAAATAAATCTGTCTATATTGAATATAACAATGTGAAAGATAAAAAGAAATGTATGTATATTGATATTTAAAGTTCAAACAGGAAAAAGGAATTAGGTAGAAAAAATACTAATATGCTCTTCTTTCCGTCAATCTGATTCCATAACCATTATTTCGAATGTACAAATAATAAAATGCGTGCATTTGTCAAAGGGAAAACAACAACTACAAAGTATCCACAGTTATACGGAATAGGAGGGCAATAACATATTAAAAATACCTTTTCATCTTGTAGAACCAATTCAATCGAGAATATAGAGCCAGGATTAAAACGATCCGGTTTTTCCCACATACGGACAACCCGAACTTTCAACTTCCATTGCATCTTTGAAATGGTTATATCGTTGATGAAATCAAACTTAGCGGCCATCTTTTGACTAATCCGTAGATTATGTTGAAATCTTCGTAGAAAATCTACACCATAGAATTCAAGCAGGTGTAGGTAAGGAAGAAATAAAAATTTTGCGGTTTGAGGAGCAGTTGGTAGGAAGTAGACTACATCGTGGGTTAGACAGTTGCAGAGACAATTTAGGATTAATTGAAGGTCAAATTTGTTAACCTATTTTTGTGGAGTAAAACGTTTTCCCACACGTTCAATTAATTTCATTTGTTAATAATTAAAAAAATATAAAATGAGATATGTAAAAGGAAATTTGAATGGTTTTTTCCTTTAAGAATAATTAATACAAATATAAAATAAAATCAATATATGTAAAAGGAAGTTTGAACGGTTTAGGTTGACAACCCACGTTCATTTAATGATTTTAAAGTATTTTAAATTAAAAAATAGAGAAGAAGGTTTACATTTTCTGAAGTGAACGGTTTCGGAAGATTTATTTCCAAATATTTTCCCAGATTTTGTGAACTGAACAGTTTCGGAGTTTTTTTCCAAAAATTTTCACTGATTTTGTGAACTGCACGGTTTCGAAAAATTTTTATCCAAAAATTTTCACTAAATTACCTGTATTTACAAACCTATTAAAAGTTAAATTATATTTCCTTATTAGTGTGCTTCCTAATATGTAGGAGAATTGTCTTAATGTGACATGTGTCGTGATAGGATTTTCCCATTTGGCTTCATGAGAGGCTTTTATCCCTTGCTTTTAATTATATATAGATGTCCATCCGTCCCAAATTATGTCTCGCTTTGCGAGCTTAAGACTGAATGAACTTTGCTCGACATTTTAAAATATATTTTTAACTGTATTGAGTTGATTTAATTCAATTTAGCTCTAAGAATTAATCAAATTAACTCTTGAGAAACAAAATATGGCCGATAATAATTTGGGACGGAGGGATCTATTTGCAAACTGATGTTCATAATTGCAAATTCTGATTTTGTTTGCAAATATTTTAAAGAGAAATTTTCATAAAGCACTATCTTTTAGTGGTAATTAGCTATCTATAGATACCATTTGCTATATTACGGATTGTAGATACTTTTTCTGTTGTTATAAGATGTATTAGATGTATTTAAGCTACTGTATTCATGAATACAATAGTAAAAATAGGCGTGAATCAGGGAAGTCCAGCTAATCAGTTGTTGTATTCGAGTGTATTCGACAGTATTCATGGCGTGAAACATGGGATTACAGCTAGACAGATTATTGTATTCGACTGTATTCACGGCGTGAAACATGGGATTACACTATTTTTAAATGGAAAGTGAATCAATTAACCTAATAGACTCCTAATATAACTCAACAAACTCAATTACAGCACACAAATTTTGTATTTCCAGTTATAAAAAAGATTCTCAACCGAAAAATACCCCAAAAACATAGCAATCTTCAGAGAAATTATATAATACATCTGAATACATAAATTATATTAATTAAAAAATATATGAATACATTCATGGCATATAGCCAGACAGTAAATACAATGAAATACATAGCATACAACGGGATACATTGAAAAACAAATGGGAAAAAAAATAGTGAATACAATAAAATACATGGAATACAGCGAGATGCATTGAATTACAATGAAAAAATAGACAATAAATACAATAAAATACATGAAAATACAGTGTGATACATTGAAAATATATTAAAATATATTAATAGAAAATCAAGTTGCTCAGCCCCAATGGGTCCTTGAATCCGATTCAATAAATTACCAATTGCCGCCTCAAAACCAATCCGATCAAATCAGAGACAATTTGGTCAAGGTATATTTGAAATTAAGAGGCACTGTCTAATCATGTTGTTATGAGGGCTGCTGAAGCCGATATTAAGGTATTGGGTAATATTCTACTTCATCCAATGTTTGGTGGCCAAAAGAGGACCGAATCCGAGAAAAGATTGGATGGTAAATACTTTGTAACTGTTCAAGATAGGGATTGGTACTGGAGAGCTTATCTACTAGAAGGGGAAGATAGGGATCATCCTGCTTGCAATATATTTGGCCCGAGGGGTAGAAGCGTCGAAGGACTTAACTTTACAAAGAGTTTAGTCGTTGAACCATCAGCGCTGTTTGTTCTTCTGATTTTAGAAGCAGAAGATGGTGGTGTGGCGGTGAGCATAATTGCGCCGGCGGGGAGGAGAAGAGAATAAAGAGAGAGGAGAGAGCGTGGGAAGAGAATGACATGTATCAAAGTTGAGAGAGAAAAAAATAGTATAACTGAATAGCGTATTTAGTGGCTTAGGGATATGAGGTAACCAAAATTAGATATTTTGCTATAAACATTAAAAGGTATCTATAGAATATAATTTTTTAAAATGGTATTTATTTAAAATAAATAAGGCGTTAACTTTTGCTATAGGAGGTAAAAATCTAAATATTAAACTATACTATAGTATCTAAAATATTGAAAAATCTGTATTTCAAGCGAATTAGTAGTTTTTTTTTGTTTCCCACCCGGTGTTCGGTATCCGCATTGGGGCCCGACTATATCCGGATTCTCTCCGCGTAGGCCCCATTCAGGGGGAAGTGCTCCCTACCAAGGATTTTTCCATACCCAAGGCTCGAACTCGAGACCTCTGGTTAAGGGTAGAGCAGTCTCATCCACTGCACCACATCCTTTGGTGGTGAACTAGTAGTTGTTACTCACAAATCTACAATTTTTTCTCAAATGAAATTCATTTCCAAACATTACTTCCAACTACATTTTTTAAACATTTCAAAAAATCTACATCAACGTTTCAAATAAACTTTATTTTTTCTTCAGGTATGTTTCCGTTCCAATTTATGTGAACCTGTTTGACTGGGCACGGAGTTTAAGGAAATATGAAGACTTTTAGAATTTGTGGTCCTAAACAAGTCAAAAAGGGGCCCAGAGTATTTGTGTGGTTATAAAAGCTTCTCATTAAGAGTAGAATTGGAAGTTTAAGCTAAATTGTTTCCAAATTTAGAAAGGGGTCATTCTTTTTGGAACGGACCAAAAAAGAAATATGTTCATATAAACTGGAACGGAGGGAGTATTTTTCTGAGTCCCACCTTCCATTTTTCAGTCTATTGAGTTTTGAATGATCAGTGACAAATCTTCTTGAAAAATGAGACGTTGAGCACCATATCCAGGAGAATCAGGAACCAAAATGTGGTTCCTTTTGACTCAAATGACCGAAATGTGTGGGAAAAAAAATAGTTACCAAAATATATATATCGTCTTTTTAAAAGACGCTATACTTTAACGGCCGTTTGGCCTTATTAAGTGGGCCCACAAATAATTCTTCTGTGGTTAACTGACATAACAATAATTCAACTGGGTATAACATTTTTTTTTAAAAATGCTATACCTCTAATAATTGCACCCCGGGCCGATTTTTGCCTTATTTAAAAAGGTGAAGGATTTAAAAATCCATTCATAAACATATTCAAGTGTTCTGAAATTTTTCAAGTGCTTTGAAATTTTTCTGTTAAGTTGTTTTGTATTTTATCATAATGTCTGAAGAGCGAAAAATTAGGGTTTCATTGTATTGGGGGGGGGGGGGTGAGGTTGTGGTGGCGAACAACTCAATTAGCTATAGTTTATCTCTACAGTGTCATGTTAAGTTGCCATTTACAATGAAGTACGATAGATTAGTATTGTTGTTATGTATTAGAATGAGTGTGAGTAAATGTTCGTTGAATCTTAAAATAACCGAAAGATATTCGTATTCTGTGACTATGCAAGGGGTTGCTTGTTATGCTGAGTTTAACATCGAAGACGATGAAACTCTGAGAGATTTTTGGGGACTCCGGATGAATACAGGGAATTTATTGTGATAAAATTGTTGGAAATGTACGTCAAGGCTGAAGACGTTCGCAATAATGAGGTTGCGCAACGTAGGTAAATCCCTCAATCATCGGGTGGTTATTTTGGAGCAGTTTTAGCCGAACAGGTTCCGATTGAAAGAGTTTGGCCGGATCTAAACTTATCTCCACGGGCGAATGAGGAGCGAGGAAATAATTTCTCCTCTAGTATACATAATCCACAAGCCGAGCGGTAAACTTCAATTATCATTTGTGTTACGATGTATATTTTTGTGTATTGTATTTGTATTAACACTCATATATTCCACAGGGGGTACCGACCAGATATGAATTTTACAAGTTATGAACTAACGGCCAGTTGGAATATGCCTAGTTTTGGTGTGTTAGATCATGGTGGTCCATCCGGGAGTCAGCATCAACAAGATAATGTGCATCATGGGATATCAACACATTATGATTTGTAAGTGAATATATAAAGTTATATGTATTATTAGGACCAATTTCAGTAACTCATTATTTTTTTGGTTGTGCAGTGAAAACGAGCAACTTGATGGTCCTGTCCTCACTCAATTGCCCGTAGACGACGTATTTACCCGGGATTTGGCAGATGCGCAGAGTCAGGAAGATAATAGTGATTATGAAAACAATACCGATGAGTCTAGAGATGACACACCCATCCCCGACGGGGGTGATGAATAAGAGGAAGAGAATGCCGAACCTGATTTGACGATTGAACATGCTTCACCTCCCGTTAGAACAAGAGTGTACGAGTCCCACGTACCGTTTCATTCAAGGCATATTCCCTACCTTGATCATTTGCCAAGTACACCGGATGTAGATGCCCTCACAAGGGATATTGACGAAATTCGGACAGCAATGTGAGATGAATCTAGACCAACGGTGCTGTCAAAGGGCATGCTTTTTCCTGATAAGACGCACCTAAGCAGGGCGGTGAAAATGTACAACGTAAAAGAGTACCGTGAGATGATCGTATGGGAGTCATCTCCGGATGTATACAAGGTTGTTTGCCGTAGATGGTTTACGGGTTGTAACTGAATGCTGCGTGCGATAAAAAAAACAAATGTGTGGAAAGTGGGTAAATACATTAGCACCCACAATTGTGAAATGGACGTGGGAATCACTTCAACTTGGATGTTGACTTGATTTCTCTTCTCTTGATTCCACACATTGAAGCGTCCATAAGGTACAAGATCAAAGAGTGTATTACATCCATCCTCAGGAATATGGGTGTACTATTACC